TATATATATATATATATATATACAGGTACCAAGTTCCACACACACACACTCACACACGCACAGGAACCCTGATATCAATCCTCATTGTAAAGATAGCAAAAAAACAGTGGAACCTGTTTTTTCTTAACTACCTTGAGTGGGTTGTTCCTGACCATTCTGTTATCAAATAAATACTTTAATTTGATGACTTGGGGGAGTTACAGAGCTTTTTAAGCTAAATTGTAAATTCAAATTACTTTTACTTAATTAATAATAATGGTGTCATTTTGATGGATTTTAATCACCATTCAACAAAAGAATTTTTTTAGTATTGCCTTGTCTAAGAGCCGTTGGTTGGCATATATTTAACATACAGTTTTAATAATTCTTTTCAATCAATCTGTGTTTCGTCTATATTATTTTCATTGCTGAGCCACAGCAGTTCTGTTGCACAGATTGCTAAAGGAATACATTTGGGTTCTGATAGAAAGCTGTTAGAATATGTAGGGCTTCACAGTTCAGTATATGTTGGATTCCATGAGGGTACAAAAAGGAAACAGATTTTTGTTATCTAACCCTTTAAAAAGAAACTTAAACGTTTGATTGATGCAGCTTTTTGCCACCTGTATGTGTTTTTTAAGTTGGTTGTGATGCCTTAGATTTAATCTGTTTGTTCATTGATTTTCCTTAATAAAGTTTTTAATGAAAAACTGCAGTTATCTAGAAAAAAAGTACCGGTAGTAATCATATATGAGAGGATCCCAGCTCAGATTATGTTGTTTCTTCTCAGTAAGTGGGCAGAGGAATATTGATAATAAAATATATTTTTCTGTTATTTTTCCAACAGCAAGACACTCCCTAAAGAATTTCTTTACTTGTTCCATTGGAGTCCCAAACTTTCCAGAGTATGTGGCCTCAGGAAGTATTGATGACACTCAGTTTGTTTACTGCAACACCAGTAAAAGGATTGTTGAAGGAAAAAGCGACTGGTTTAAAGAATGGCTTCAAAATCAAGATAACTTTAAGATCTTCCAAGAGAGATGTTTTGCACAAGCTCAACCAATAGGCAAAAATGCCCTCAATGAAATTTTGCATGACCTCAATCTACATGAAGGTAAAGTGTGACTATTTCTTTTCTTCTACATTGATTTTTTTCTTCTGAAGACTTAGCATTATCCGCTGAATTAGTTAAATATGCTACAGAAACACATAAGACAACAATTGTTTTTATGTAGGAAACTTTGGACAAAAACTAATCTGAATATGTTTTAGAATATATAATTATGTGTTAAACTTTTGGAGAAAAATATATATATTTTTAGTCCATTCATCCACATTATTAAGTAATTTCTCTTTTTATGTATTTTATTTGAGAAAAGTAGTTGGCAAAACCTTGTCTTGGTTAGAACAGGGCAGAGTGATCAACAGAGGCTTTATCAATAAAAAAATTTCTCAAATGAAAAAAATAATTGTGTAAATGTTTTAAATGAGTTAGATTTTCCTCACAACACAAAAAGGAAGTATGTTTGTTATCCTTCACAATATCTTGAAACATAATAACATGAATTATTAACTAATCAATATCATAATCAATATTACATAAATTCTGCTCACATGTACTGGAACAGTGTTTACTTTCTGAGTGAGTAAGGCAGCAAGTTTCAGGATGACTGAATCATCATGGTCAGTTGTCACAGGAACCAGAGGTCTAGCGCTGACGATTGCTGCAGAGTCAAGGATCTTTTGTACTACACCAAGCATCCTATTCCATATTCTGCCAGAATGAAAGGCATGAGGAGGATTGAGTCCTCTTGCAGCCTTGATCTGACAGGGAAATTTTTACTGTGGTCTATCAATGTTTGAAGGTATGTTCATCAGAATCAGAATCAGAAATACTTTAATAATCCCAGAGGGAAATTACTTTCTCTCCTTAGAAGCGGCAATGACAATGGTGCCTATATGGTCCCCGATCTGCAGCACCTGAAGGTATTAATAAATAATTCAAGGCATTAAATTACCTGAATGTGAATTGCTCTCAAACTCAAACAAGTAAATTAGTCCATCCTGGCCAATGGCATCATGTGCTATATCTTTGAAAGGAGGATCTATAGACAGGTGAGCTGCTTGAAGGTCAGCTCTTTTCTGAACACTGACGAGAGCTCTAATTTGTCAGCATATCATACACCGATGGATGACACAGCTCATTCTCCTCTTGATATCAATTATTCAGAAACCAGCTCACCGAATGGCACCTTCAGTAAAGAGCCGGCCCTGGTGATGCACCTGCTCAGCGTTTTGTCAGATAATCAAGTTACAATGTTGATGTACTGGTAAAATCACTAGAGTTTTTTCACATTGATGAAGGTTGGGATGCTAAAGGCAACCTTCAACCTTAAACAGACCCTCTACAGCAACAAAGGGATCCAGGTTCTTCATAAGGCTTGTGTTCAGACTGTTTTTTTCTGTTCCTTCATGCACTTGAGCAGTGACAGCTTACTTGCAGTCATGCCAGTCTCTGCATGAGTTTCTTCGCACTGCCTTGGCCTGGAAACGATGTGTTGTGTGGACAAGGCGAGTCATGAGTGATTCCCTGGAAGAAAATCTAGCAAATCTTTAGCAACCCAAATGGTCAAAGATTGTTGTTGTGTTCAAGGTAGATGCCAGGGGAGGCACATCTGTATCTATATCTGGCTCAACCAGATCACAACCACTCTTAGAGAACACTAGCTTGAGTAAGTACTGAAACTTAGGTCCAACCAACCATTTAGCATGGGTAAGTTGGCTAGCAAAAACAAATTCAGTGCCATGATCTGCCAGGTCCTGATCTGTGGGTATAAAGTACCGTTGCTTTGTTTTAGATAATCTTCTGGTGTCTAGTACTCAATTACAGGCATAGACTTAAAACTGTCTGGTCTTGTTATGAACATAGCCCAAAAAAACTTTACAATCTGCATAGTAAGATGCAGCATTAAACTAAAAGATTCCACTCTGTGGACACTGGGTCAGCTAGATCAACAGCAAGCCCTGCAGTACAGAACTCTAATCTGGGGATTGTGTGCTCTGGACATGTCATGGGCTAGCTTGGCTTTGCCCATGACAAGCCCAACCTGTTTGTTACATTGATCATATGTGAAATTCAAATATAACCACACAGAAAACACATAGTTCCTTCCTGTTAGCTGCTGAATTTGATATTTTGGTATAAAATATGGATGTTTAAAGGTGCAAGTCTTTAGTCAAAGAAGCTCCACACAGTCCAGGCTTCATCCTTCTTCCTTTGGAAAAGGCGCGGCCCAATCTCCACTCCCTATTTGTGAGCTGTCTTTAGACTGCCTTTCCCTGGATAGTGACTGGTGCTGCAAAACCAAGAGGGTCATAAAGACTGTTGATTGTGGATATGATACCAACTCTGGTGAAAGGCTTTATCCCTTCTGAGACAGTGAAGCGAAAACAGCCTGTCTGGAGGTTCCAACTGAGCCCAAGACTGTATTAGATAGGAAGTTGATTGTCACTGAAATTTCACTCTTTCATATCAATTGCCAGATCAGATGGAGAAAAATCCTACATTAAAGGAATAGTACACCCAAAACATGATTAGCCTTCATTTTCTACTCACCCCCATGCTGAACAACACTCTGGAGTACTTTTTTGATATCTCAAATGCATCTGGAGATCTGGGAGGCTTCTTGCTGTCTGCTGACATTCAAATAATGGAGGTCTAGCACATGCGCGCTCACGACGCTACG